GAGAGAGAGCGAGAGCGAGAGCAAGAGAGAGAGAGAGAGAGCGAGAGCGAGAGAGAGAGAGAGAGAGCGAGAGAGAGAGAGAGAGAGCGAGATCGAGAGAGAGAGAGAGAGAGGAGAGGGAGAGAGAGAGAGAGAGACTCAGAGCCTCAACCACCTCTTGATTCGTCACTGGTTCGCTCTGCCACCCATGCGTCACAACAACTCACCTCTCCTTTAGGTTTCCTATCTTTGAAGCTTTCGCCACCGCCTTGTGCGGTACTATGTCAAATGTTTGTGTGTTTGAAATCATGGGATGAGATGGGATGGGATGTGATGGGAGGTGATGGGATGTGATGGGTCGAGGGTTACTACCCAACCTTCAGGCGTTTGGCGATTCTCTATATTCAAGATTCTTCAAGTAATGCCAACCCTGGATTTTGGTAAATCCTAGTTGAGAAGGTGGGTCATCCCCAAAAAACATGGCTGATGCTTGCTCAAATGGTGCCTCCCAATTCAACACGCAAGGGGGGTTGTTAACCCAGGGTTGACATGATCCAATTCTCGCGGCGCAATTTTTGATCTATCTCCAGCTGATCCGCGATGGAAAAGTGTGGCCAGGCAAAACTTTGGTGTGGAAAGGTAGTTTCATGTTGTTTCATGTGCTAGTTCTACCTATTCTCGCCATGAAGAGATACTCCTCACTATTGGTTGCAACTATTACTTTATCCATTTCTTAATCCAGTTATGATCCTATTATCCTAGATCGGCTCTTTATTCCAGAGCTATCCAGGAGTTTTTGGTACTCAGGGTATCCCGTCCAGTGTAAGCACAAAGGTTTCGTTTCATCCGACATCTTGTTGTTGTGGTATATACGTCACTTCGACTGTGCATATTATGATGCTCTCGTTTCAGTATGGTGACTATTCGACATTTTGCAGAATACAATAATATATTATACGTGGGCTTTTAGACATGTTGATATTTTGGAATCATACACTAGTACAATGTATTGATATGTATGACATAATGCTATATATATATCATGCACATTGGTTTCAATACTGTACTGACCAATGAATTGCCATGGGAATATGAGGATTGCGGCTTGCCGGACAGCCTTTTGGCGGCATCCAGCGGAGTCATCTCAAGGGGTAGCCTTCAGCAAAGTAACATAGTTTTATAGAATCAATAAGTTGTCAAACATGGTGTTGTGTGTTTTTTCTCATGAATATATTTTTGTGTACCACTTTCAAAAATGAATGCCACTTTACTATAGATCTCCATATATAGTTGGGTAACATCTTTAAGTATCTATACCTGAAGTATCAAGATCCGGAAAGCCATGCATGTATATATATATATATTAATAGGTAATATATATATAGATATAGATATATAGTTTGATATGTGTTTTTCAACGATTTGTTCCAGATACTGTATATTAAGGTAAGGCGCGGCGTCAATCTGCCAGGCGCAGAAGCCCTGAGGATGATGGAGGTGAACCAACTTGGTGGTCTTTGGGGGGTGAAAAAAACACGATGTGGCTGCTGGGCATTTGAATTTCTGTTATTTTCCATGACTTGCAATGAGAATCCTGTTATTTTTTTGGGTTGCTGGAACGGTTGCAAAAAAAATATTGAAGGTAGCCATGTCAAGGTTTGGCAAGCAGATGTTCTTCAGAAAAGCAGATGCCAAAGTAGTTTATGATGTATACGGACTGGCTTGTGCATTTGAACACTGAATCATAACTTGATATTTGTTTGAACTGAGCGATGCTCCTTGTTTTGTTTGGTTTTCTCTCTGTCAGGCGTCAATAGACAAACGGTTTTCTACATGTGTTGAAATATTTATATGATGTAGCAAATGCAATCAAATGCATATTATCAGAATGTTCATACACATATTATCAACCTAAACCAAATCATATACCAGCGGTGTGCACAATATAGGTGTAAGGTGTCAGCCAAATATACGGTATCAATCTGTAGTAGGTAAGGATCTCCAGAATAGCAATATCTACATGAACTCGCCGACGTACTGCAGCGTGTCCGACTGATTGGTACACCAAGTAAGTTCTAGACCAGATAAAACACCCAATCTGACCATCCATTACATGCCATCTACTAAAGACAACCATGTCCACCAACTCCACCAACATCTGCTATGTTCTCATGTTGTAGGCCTATGCTGAGGGGGTCAACTGGTACGCTTTCAGATGTGTGAAGCGCAAGCGATTGCCGTTGGAGTTCACCCTCACTGGGCAATCCTGGGAAGAATGGACCCCGGTGACTCGTCGATGGCTGCCCGGTCAGTCGCATCCAGGATGTAAGCTTGGCCGGTGAGAACTTCGTTGAATATTTCAACTCTTTTCTGTACATCTTGTAACAACCTTTTGCTGTATTTCAATGGTTTGGCACAGGCTGGTGTTGTTGGGAAATGAGAGAGGTTACCCTTTGGCCCCCTTGAGGTTCACAGTTTAGCGCTGATCCGTTTCTGGGGCTTTGCCATGAATTATGGTTTTCAGCCACTTGGACATTGCGCGCTGGTGCGAAATCCCCATCAAAAATGGAGGATATGGAGGGCTGGGAAAATCATCAAACTAAATGGGGACTAGTTGACTAGTCCAATGGCATATATTGGCAGCCAAGCTGTCTCAGCCCTTGTCTGGAACCATGTTTCCTGATCAATCGACGGATTTGTTGGGCATTACCTGTCCTTGAAATCCAGAGCTTTGTGGTTGAAACCGGCCGGGCCTCTTTGTTGGTGAAATCCCATGTTTGCTGGTGAATCCCACTTATTTGGGTCAAATTCCTATGCTGTGATAATGATGCCCCATCTCTTGGCTGTAAATCTACATGTTCTAGTCTTGCAAAATCCATAAATCCATAAATCCAAACTTGTTTGTTGAACAACTCCAGAGACATTTGTGTTTGCAGTTTGCTGGTTGACTTTGTTGGTCAAATCCAGATTGACATGTTTGCTGCCTGCCAATCGATGCAGTATTCCCAAAGAAATCCCCATTTTGGGTTGTTAAAACCTCCATTTTTCAGGTGTAAATCCACCATTTCAGCATCGAAACCTGTTGGCCAAGGCATGCGTTGCTGCGCCGCAGTCTGGCAGAGCTCTTGGGTAAAGACTTGGCAGAGCTCTGGACCAACACAAAGGAGGAGGAGGCGCTTGGGATGTCTAGCTGAGTTGGTTTGTAACTGTTTGTAACATGTTATGCCTTTAATTATCTTTAATTACTATGGTTTATGGATGTTTATGGTAAATATACCTTTAGTTATACACCAACTTAATCCAACTTAGAACTGGGGGTCTCACCTTTTTTTGCCCGATACATCTAGATGTAATATGATGTAATATGGTATGTAATTTCTGGGATATAATATTAATTCAATTCATTTGCCTAATGCTATTTTCATCTCTTTTCTATTGTTGGTTCTGTTTATAGCAACAATAACAAACAATATGGGCTCTATCTCTTATGGGTATTCGAAAAACTACTATTACCATTGTGTCTATATCATTCTTTTGGGGCTTTAACTTGAGGTATCGAGGCACGGACCTTGAATGGAAAGTTGGATGTTCAAGCACAGTATATGAGTCATTGTATCTGCAATAGTATAGTTTTACTAGTAATATCGGCTTCTAAAACATATAGGCGAAGCAAGATTGGTAATCTTACAATTAGGGTCAAAAGGAATTCGCTAGTCACAATCACAATCGGATATATGGATTATATTATAGTATATTATAACCTTGAAGCACCAAAAAAATGATTGGTTCTTGCAGCCCTGAAAGGTGCCGGGGGTGATCAGGCATCAATTCCCTTCACGGTGGATCGAGCAGCATGGGAAGCCTTCAAGAAGGTTGGAGGGCGGCTGTGTTTCGCCCAGATTCGAAGAATTACATGGCAAAAACAGTGTGATAGAGATGATGTGTAATATATATATATATATTTATTTATGTATATGGTATATTATATAAAAGCCATTGTGTATATATATATATATGTATATTTATACTTACATAGTTACATAGATACATATATATATATAAGTATAAATATATATATAAGTATACATACATACATACATATATATATATATATATGTATATCAGTTTATATCTAAGGGCTGCCGCCCCTGCCGCCGACCCCGGGCCTATTTTTGCTAGCTGATATTTCAGAGCGAGTGGTTTTAAATCTGGACCTGTTTGCCACCTCTGCACCCCGCAACTGTTTGCCACATCTTTCAGCCAACAAATTGCCGTAAAAAATGCACCTCCCGGACAGGAAAACACCATGGCACTGAGGGACGGAATGGTGCCCTACAATGATAATCCACGAGGCCTAACGTCCCTTCTGAAACCCTAGTTAAAAAACACAAAAAAAAAACACAAATTTCCAGCTCTGGGCAGCTCTTGGCAACTTGTCCACATGGCCTTCCTGCTGCCCTGCTCCTGCTGCTGCGTGCTGTAAGCTGCTCGGCTGCTACTTTGGTTGTTGCTGCTGCGCTGCTTCTGCTGCGGCTGCTGCTGCCTCTGCTGCTGCTACTGCTGCTACTCTTGCTACTGCTGCGCCGAGTCCCAAAACGTGGCTCCTGGACGGGGAAACACAGTGGCAGTGAAGGACGGAACAACGACAAAATGCAGCCCAAAAAGTGCCTAACATGTCGTCTGAAGCCGTAGAAAAACTGTATCAACATAGCCTTCCTGCTGCCCTACTCCTGCTGTAAGCTGCTGCAGCTGCTACTTTGGCTGTTACTGCTGCGCTGCTTCCTGCTGCTGCTGCTACTGCTGCTGCTCCTGCTACAAGCCCCTCCTCCTGCTGGTGTGCTTTTAGCTAACATATATATATATATTGCCTTAATAAAAACGCACCTCCCGGACAGGAAAACACCATGGCACTGAGGGACGGAATGGTGCCCTGCAATGATAATCCACGAGGCCTAACGTCCCTTATGAAACCCTAGTTAAAGAACACAAATTTCCAGTGCTTTTCAGCGAACATATTGCCTTTAAAAAACGCACCTCCCGGACAGGAAAACACCATGGCACTGAGGGACGGAATGGTGCCCTGCAATGATAATCCACGAGACCTAACGTCCCTTCTGAAACCCTAGTTAAAAAACACAAATTTCCAGCTCTTGGCAGCTCTTGACAACTGTGTCCACATGGCCTTCCTGCTACCCTGCTCATGCTGTAAGCTGCTTGGCTGCTACTTCGGTTGTTGCTGCTCCGCTGCTTTTGGCGTGCTGGCTTCGGCAGCTGCTGATGCTGCTGACCAGCCTCCTGGACAGGAACACACACGAATGGTGCCCTGCAATGGTAATCCACGGGGCCTAACATCCCTTCTGAAACCCTCTGCAACTGCTTGCCACATCTTTTAGCCAACAAATTGCCTTAAAAAAAGCACCTCCCGGACAGGAAAACACCATGGCACTGAGGGACGGAATGGTGCCCTGCAATGATAATCCACGAGGCCTAACGTCCCTTCTGAAACCCTAGTTAAAAAACATAAATTTCCAGCTCTTGGCAGCTCTTGACAACTGTGTCCACATGGCCTTCCTGCTGCCCTGCTCCTGCTGTAAGCTGCTTGGCTGCTACTTCGGTTGTTGCTGCTGCGCTGCCTGCTGCTGCTGCTACTGCTGCTGCTGCTGCTGCTCCTGCTACAAGCCCCTCCTCCTGCTGGTGTGCTTTTAGCTAACATATTGCCTTAAAAAAACGAACCTCCCGGACAGGAAAACACCATGGCACTGAGGGACGGAATGATGCCCTGCAATGATAATCCACGGGGCCTAACGTCCCTTCCGAAACCCTAGTTAAAAAACACAAATTTCCAGCTCTTGGAAGCTGCTCGGCTGCTACTTTGGTTGTTGCTGCTGCGCTGCTTCTGCTGCGGCTGCTGCAACTGCTTGCGACATCTTTTAGCTAACAAATTGCCTTAAAAAAACGCACCTCCCGGACAGGAAAGCACCAGCTGCTTTTGGTGTGCCGGCTTGGGCTGCTGCTGATGCTGCTGCTGACCAGCCTCCTGGACGGGAAAACACCATGGAACTGAAGGACGAATGGTGCCTTGCAATGGTAATCCACGGGCCTTAACGTCCATTCTGAAACCTTAGTTTAAAAACATTAAAGAACACAAGGTCCAACTCTTGACAGCTCTTGGCAGCAGCGTTTTGCACCTGTTTGCCACCTCTGCAGCCCGCAGCTGTTTACCACATCTTTTAGCCAACAAATTGCCTTCAAACAATGCACCTCCCGGACAGGAAAACACCATGGCACTGAGGGACGGAATGGTGCCCTGCAATGATAATCCACGAGGCCTAACGTCCCTTCTGATTAATGTAGTTAAAAACACAAAATTTCCAGCTCTTGGCAGCTCTTGGCAACTTGTCCACATGGCCTTCCTGCTGCCCTGCTCCTGCTGCTGCGTGCTGTAAGCTGCTCGGCTGCTACTTTGGTTGTTGCTGCTGCGCTGCTTCTGCTGCGGCTGCTGCAACTGCTTGCCACATCTTTTAGCCAACAAATTGCCTTAAAAAAACGCACCTCCCGGACAGGAAAACACCATGGCACTGAGGGACGGAATGGTGCCCTGCAATGATAATCCACAGGGCTAACGTTCCTTCTGAAACCCTAGTTAAAAAATTTCCAGCTCTTGGCAGCTCTTGACAACTGTGTCCACGTGGCCTTCCTGCTGCCCTGCTCCTGCTGTAAGCTGCTCGGCTGCTACTTCGGTTGTTGCTGCTGCGCTGCCTCTTGCTGCTGCGCTGCTTCCTGCTGCTGCTGCTGCTGCTGCTCCTGCTACAAGCCCCTCCTCCTGCTGGTGTGCTTTTAGCTAACATATTGCCTTAAAAAAATGCACCTCCCGGACAGGAAAACACCATGGCACTGAGGGAGGGAATGGTGCCCTGCAATGATAATCCACGAGGCCTAACGTCCCTTCTGAAACCCTAGTTAAAGAACACAAATTTCCAGCTCTTGGCAGCTCTTGGCAGCTCTTGGCAACTTGTCCGCATAGCCTTCCTGCTGCCCTGCTCCTGCTGTAAGCTGCTCGGCTGCTACTTTGGTTGTTGCTGCTGCGCTGCTTCTGCTGCGGCTGCTGCAACTGCTTGCCACATCTCTTAGCCAACAAATTGCCTTAAAAAACGCACCTCCCGGACAGGAAAACACCATGGCACTGAGGGACGGAATGGTGCCCTGCAATGATAATCCACGAGGCTTAACGTCCCTTCTGAAACCCTAGTTAAAAAACACAAATTTCCAGCTCTTGGCAGCTCTTGACAACTGTGTCCACATGGCCTTCCTGCTGCCCTGCTCCTGCTGTAAGCTGCTTGGCTGCTACTTCGGTTGTTCCTGCTGCGCTGCTTCCTGCTGCTGCTGCTGCTGCTGCTCCTGCTACAAGCCCCTCCTCCTGCTGGTGTGCTTTTAGCCAACAAATTGCCTTAAAAAAACGCACCTCCCGGACAGGAAAACACCATGGCACTGAGGGACGGAATGGTGCCCTGCAATGATAATCCACGAGGCCTAGCGTCCCTTCTGAAACCTTAGTTAAAAAACACAAATTTCCAGCTCTTGGCAGCTTGACAACTGTGTCCACATGGCCTTCCTGCTGCCCTGCTCCTGCTGTAAGCTGCTCGGCTGCTACTTCGGTTGTTGCTGCTCCGCTGCTCAAAGCAAGGAATGGTTTCTGGATGCTGGACGCACGACGCCAAATAACAAAAAAGTGCCTAACGTCTCGTCTGAAACCTTTAAACAAGGCCACGCCTGAGCCTCCTGCTGCTGCTGCTGCTGCTGCTGCTGCTGCTGCTGCCCGTTCAAAAAACAGCCCCCGGATAATAATGCTGCTGCAGCTGCCAGCGGCAGCTGCCTACTGGCTGCTGAGTCGTGGCTGCTGACTACTGGCTGCCGCTGCCTGCTTACTGGCTGCTGGCTACTGGCTGCTGCTGGCTGCTGGCTGCTTCTGCTGGCTGCTGCAAAAACGTAGGTCCCGGACAGGGAAACACCATGGCAGTGAAGGACAGATGGGCCAGAAAAAAATGACCAAAAACTGCCTAACGTCTCGTCTGAAACTGCTCTAAACAAGGCTACACCTGAGCCTCCTGCTGCTGCTGCTGCTGCTGTTGCCTGTTCAAAAAACAGCCCCCGGATAATACTGCTGCTGCAGGTGCTAGCGGCAGCTGCCTACTGGCTGCTGAGTCCTGGCTGCTGACTAGTAGCTACTGCTGCCTGCTTACTGGCTGCTGGCTACTGGCTGCTGCTGGCTGCTGGCTGCTTCTGCCGCTGGCTGCTGCAAAAACGTGGGTCCCGGAGTCCCGGACAGGGAAACACCATGGCAGCGAAGGGCGGATGGGCCAGAAAAAATGACCAAAAACTGCCTAACGTCTCGTCTGAAACTGCTCTAAACAAGGCTACACCTGAGCCTCCTGCTGCTGCTGCTGCTGCCGCCTGTTCAAAAGAGCCCCCGGAGAATGCAGCTGCTGCAGCTGCTGGCGGCAGCTGCCTACTGGCTGCTGACTACTGGCCGCCTGCTGCCTGCTTACTGGCTGCTTGGCGGCTGCTGCCTATTGGCTGCTGAGTCCTGGCTGCCTCCTGCCTGCTTACTGGCTGCTGGCTACTGGCTGCTGCCGCTGGTCTGCTGCTGCTACCACTGCCGCTGCTCTGCTGCTGCTACTGCTGCTGCTACTTCGGAAAGCTTCCCAAGACCCGTTGTTGTATTTGTTGTTGTCCACAGCCTCTCTTCCCTGACGCGCTCCCCCTTGCTGTCGGCCGGGGTCGGCGGATATATATATATATATCAGAATGGTTACTGTACCACCTACTGTGTTTTGCACTATAATCACAAACTAGCAGAGAAATGTCCTTTATGTCGAACAAACACAGATGGATGTAAATTTCTATTCATGTTCTCGCTCATTCATTTTTACCTATCATGTAGACACTGACAATAAAACTAGGTTTCTCCCATTCTTGGTGGTTTCATTCCCATTATTGAGAAGACCTTTGAAACAAATCAATGGCGAAGACAAACAACATGTATGTTATGCATGGTTAAAGGACCATGGTCAGAAGTTTGTATCATCACTACACATTTTGGCGAAACAACCATGGCTGTCGTTTCAAAATTTTCTTGATTTCCAAGTCTTAGCCAAACAACAAATGCTGGTGATCAACCCCTCATTTTCTTTTTTTGGTTGATTAAGTTTCGTGGTTTGTTTTGTTTCATGATGACCTCTCCACGGCGGATTCGAGGTGGATCTGTCCGCCATTCCGAAGATACCCAAGGGTGACGGTTCCAACTGGTGGGCTGTGCATGGGAAGCACACCAGCACAGGACGCGGAGATGATGGAAGATGCATACCTTCTCCATCTTAGGGTGTGTCAGCTGTTTTAAGTTCAAATACCACTCCTTGCATGGTTAGTGGTGTCAGTTTTATTTATATATGTTTTGTTCATATGTGTTCATCCTTTTGCGTAGGATATATTACCTAGCAGTTGAATGATTACACAAACAAAGACTTTTTAAGTATACTGGATGTGAGCAGTCTGCAAATTTCCCTGACCAAGCAGAACCCAATTCCAAAGAATGTCGGCATCGCCAGGAAAGCCCTTGTTGGTGGGAGATCCGCACTTGAGTATTCGAAGCTTGGCCGAGCACCAGTTTTTCCGTGGACTCCCGGAAGTTGGGATATGGAGCCTGAACAAATCATCTCTGGTCGCGCAGATCCCAGGAATCCCCAACTTTTGGTACGAGATCCATGGCACCCTCCGTGACTCGCAGCCGTTCGCTCTCCATGGGGTGGCGCCGCCGGGAATTCCGGCCACGTTGATTGGACAGAGCCTGGGATTTTTTCACGGTGATTCATAATTTAAAGGGGCTTTAAGTATATTTATAAAAGTATTATTGGATATCATCTAACCGTGGAAAACTATAGGGATATTGATGGCTGTTGATCTTTTTGCTGGGTTAATGCTACACTTTGAAGGATCACCACAAGCAACCTGCCAGGTGAGGGTCTCTAGATTTCTCCACGAGACGGCGCCTGGACCTGAACACCACACCGCCCCGGATGCGGTGCAGGGCGCCTGGACCCGAACTGTCAGACTTTACGTCAGACAGAGTGCCAGAAAGGTCAGAATATGCCAAGGATGACAGATAGAGTGTCAGAATATATGCCAGAAAGAATGTCAGAAAGAATGTCAGAACATAATATGCATTATTTACTTCCAGGTGGCATGTCAGAACATCACTGCTACCTTTGCAATATTATTTCAAGGGGTTCACGTACCAAAATAAATTTCCCAAAACAGTTTTGGATATTTAGCTATTTCCAAGAGGGTTAAGATAAGGTCAAGCCTGCACATGAAGCATGATGTTTGAATTTATTTGCGCTTTTGAATTCGCAACGCATCGATCCTAGAAAACAACAAGAAACAACATAAACAAAATAAATACCCTTTGCAAAACCAAGATTGTGCAGGATTTCCTGATGATGTACTTTGTGATTTTCTTCAATTCTGTTTCCGTAGGCTACGCAATGCTACGCATCCCTGTTGGTAGATTTTTTGATAGGGGTATCCTTTGTGTTCTGAAATTTCCGATGTATATTGACGGGCCATACTCTGAATGCATCCCTCATATTTCAAAACAGTTTTTAAACATTGAGTTGGGGTGGAAGGTGAGAGGGCGGACGGAGGGGAGTTGTCGTTCAAACTTGACATGTGGTAGCCCCTTCAAAATAATCAGGTCAAAATATGTCAAAAGGGGATCAAGAAAACATATTGGGGAAAAAAAATGAGGGGGGAGAGGAAGGGAACTTATTTCCAGGTAGTCCCACCTAGAACTGTGAAAGTGAAACCCAACTTACGTCAAACCCCTTTGAACTAGTTATGGTTTATTATTTCAAGGGAGGAGGGGGGCATTCATTAAGGTACTAGTGATTCAGAAACTTTCACCCTGCTCAGTCACACAACCATATATGGGTCAAAATCAAGACCGCCAAATTGGGCAAACCAACATCCCATTGTGATTTATAGAGTCTATTCGGCTATTCCCTTCACGTTTGGAGGTTCCGACTCATATCCTATGTTTTAAGTATCAACCCCGTTGATATTTGGCAACTGAAAAGAAATGAAAAGAAGACAGGAATCCTCCTTTTAAAACTTGTTACAGGAATCCTCCTTTTAGTTTTCGTTGTAAAAGAGGCGGGCTCCGTAGGTGTACCAAATGTTATGAGTTATGACTATCCATGTCCTGTTTGAGGTTGTCCATATTTTCTGCTGATGGGGGTTGTGTAGAAGAAACCCAGAAACCCATCATTGTAATGGGTATGTTTGCTTCTGTCAATGGTTAATGTGTATGGGTCAATGGCATTTGATGGGTATGTCACCTGGACAATCACGTGCGACAACTCTTCATGTCTTGTATTCATCTGTCAAAATTAGACATCCAAAGTTAAAGACCCAAAATTGCAAACATCCCATACACACTGGAATATTGCATACTATTGCCATGTATGAGAAAATATGGGAGTATTGCGATGGGAACATAGCAAAAACTTCATCAACATTCGAATATGGCAAAAGTGATATGTGGAATCAAACTGATCAGCAACCAATGACAAAGAGCTGCAGGTCAAGACCACGTACTTGAGAAACACATGGGGACATGTCTCAATTTTTGATTATTTTGTTCATCCTTGATGCCCCTATGCAAGCCGTGCGATGCAACGGAATTGGGGAAAACAATGTCTCAATATGTCTCGGCGGCCATTTTGTTCTACTTGCATTATGTGCTTTGCACGGATCTTGAGAGGCATATTGGTGTGTGTTTCTATTCCATACTATGAACAGAAGGCAGGAAACTGTTGTGCTGGAATACCATCCTACTATGACCTGGGATATCAAAATGTGTAGTAGAACAATGGTACCAGTCATAAGATGAGATGAGATGTCACAAGTGGTAACTTCAGAATCCCCATTTGACTGGCAGATAAGTCATCTGTGCAGGAATGGAAAGTTTGCCAACTCCATCACATTGGCATATTGCGATGTAGAAGACGTGTTCCTTGAAAGGGTGAAGGATGGCAAGTATTTGCACAAAGGATACTCGCCTCAAAGAGGATGAGAGGCTCTGGCTGGGACGTTCCAATTTCTTTGATTATACACTATTATACATACATGTTACACATTTATATTACTGCTTTTCATATACTTCAAGTCACACAAACAGGGGCAGATAGTTTGGGCGTTAATTCGGGCGCTTCGAAGTTGTACGTTGCGTTGCGCCCACAGTTCAGGTGAAGCACACTGAAGCCAGAAATGGGATGATTATTGGCTGCTTGTTACACCACCTAGGTGAATCACCATTTTCCCAATTTTCACCTGCCATAAATGATGGCTATACCATGGTATACCCTATTTTCAGACACACCCACATGGGGGTCCAACTGGGAAGACGGCATGGAGTTCATTGTGTTACGGCCATGGGTGCAGCTTGAGGTGAATGGCACAGGTGCAACCTTCGCAGCGAGATCATCAAGGTGAAAAACTCCGAGAGCCAGGAATGTCTCTGCCGTTCCACCTGTCGCTGGGATGTTTTGATGATGGCTACCATTGGCTACCTCAGATCGGATATCATGGGATACCAATGGACCGAAGCAATTTTGGGGCAGTTTGGATCATTTTGGGCTATACATTCATGGGTTGTACTATAGATGGTTGTGCTATGGGTCTGATTACCAGGATCGGGGATGATCACAACATAGTATATAATCATACATACATTATACTGTATATACAATTATATACACATTGTTGCAATATATATATAATTATATATATATATATTTATATATTATATAATTATATATACACATATATTTATATACATACATATATCATATATATTTATATACATTTATATATATATAATATATACATATATAATATATACATATATACATACACATAGTGGCGCTCTACCACGTTTTCCTTTGAATTATTGACCTCTTAATTTAGAATTATTGACCCCGATGTTTTATCAAACGTTTACTCTCACAAGAACGTCAACTTCGTCGACTTTAAGGGGTCAGTAATTCCTCAAAAGGTGGTCAAACATTCCCCAGAACGATGTCAATTCCCGAAATAACGGGGTCAGAAAGATCCCAAACTTCTCCAGACGGAGCCCAAAAACTTGGTGGAGACATCTCCTCAGAATCCCTATCCCACCCGTCAAGCCGATGACGTATGTGGCTTTTTGGCCATTTTTCACATACTCTGAGACATAAGAAAACATTCGCAATACACAGAACCTAAGGCATTACAGCAGCCCCAAAAAAGATAGAAAAGCAATTCATCAGTATTTTAGTAGGACTTTGCAAGTTTCCTTTTTGGGGGCTACTGTGATATCAATGACACTTTGTAAGGGATTGTTTGGGGGCACTTCAGAAATCAGAAACCCAATTCGGCAAGGCCCTTGCTGCTCAAATATTATATAAATAATCTTGTATAAGCGCCCAAGCAGGGTAATTATTGCGGATTTGCGTCGTCTCATCCGCATTGTGGCTACAAGAGTATGGAGGGAATGTGAGGATATCTGCTGACCCTGTTCATTAAGCCTGCATATGCATACTTGTTTCCCCAACAACTTCCATGATACTTTATCATAATCTAGTTGGTGGTTTCAAGTATTCGGAATGGCAATGGATAGACATATGATATTCGAAAAGCCCATTTCAAACATTCTCAACCCATGTCCGTCCACTTCTATCCATTTCATTCCAGTTCATTTTCAACCCCAGAGATGGATAGGAATGCGGCCTTTCAGGTCATGGGCCCTTGCTGGAAGGACAGGTGCTGGGAAAACACGAGGACTTCAAGACGGCCATGCTGGAACAGGTGACTTGTTGGACGGCAATCCGTAAACCAAAAACAATCTCCAATTCCCCCAGAAATTGATGGTTTTAAGCTCTTTAACATATTTTAACATGGATTTATGGCATTGGTTTTACCACATTACATGTTTCAAGGTCACCAGACCCCTTTCCGATGGTTTCATTTCTTGCTCAATCTGAAGGTAAGGTTGTTAGTCAGATCCGAACGTGTTCCAAGAGGCAGGGACATTCTTTTGGCACCTCAAAAGGCTGAACAAATCATGCACTCACCATTTAGTAGGGGATATTATATCATCAAATACATCAGGCGTCACATTCAGTGATTTGAGTCACTATGACCCAATGTGTCGTTCTCCCATGATAACCCTGGTACTTCTTCACAGCAAAGTTGCTCCAATGTTGGGTTTTTGAGGTGAAGAAGGAAGAGGATGAGGAACTTGGTTTTGCATCCAGTCTTGATGTTTCTTAAGAGACACTGGGCACCCAAAATGGCAATTCTTTATGGGACAGATGATGATTAACTAAGAAGTTTTGTGGTGTCGCATTTTCAGACAAACCCAGATAGGTTTGGGATGTCAATTTTTCTGACACTTTTCCAAACTAATCCCGATTTGTTTACTTAAGCAACCCATAGTTCCATAGGTACTGCAAAGCTTTGTGTAAACACACATATACAGCCACTAACATATTATATTTGCTGTCTTGAGATGTGGTGAGAATGTTTGATGTTTTCCTTCATGTTTGTAGAGCAACCTGAATTTCCATCATTCCAGAGTCCAGATGGGTCAAATATCAACCCTCCAAAATGGATGCTTTCAGTTTCGATTGGTTTAGTATGGTTTAGTACTAAAGATGGTAATAGTTGTGTGGCTCCGAAGAGGCACAAGATAAATATGGTCAGCACGTCGCCACCGTGGAATATGATTGATAGATTTTAGGAGTGGCAATTGTCCGAGGGCTCTTTCAGGGCTTAGCTGATGCGAAAAAAATGAGGGATCCATCGGGAACCCAATTTGTGGCAACGTAAACAAGACGCAAGCGACATGCCAACCATCCTACGCTCTGGTTAACATATTGATATGATTTGATATGGTTATGGCATGGCAAATAGCTGCAGCAATTGCCATTTCGATTCGGCAAATCATCGGACTCGAATTGATCCTCGGCAAATCCCATTGCTGGTAGGAGGTCTTCATTGCATATGCGGCTATAGCTCTGCGTCCAAAATCCCTTTCGGCCTTGAGTCTATGGAAGATCTTGCGAACAGAGCCTTGTTCTTCAACCGGAGAACGGTTGCAGTTTTTAGCGCCCCTGGATAGCTGATTTGTTGTGACTTTTGTAGAATTATGAGCTCTTTAATGACCAAGGACTGGCCATTATTAGATATAGTGGTGTGGTTTATGTATGATATTCCATGAATAGAAATAAAACTACCAGCCCATATCAATTTGGAGTTTGGAGAATTAATGATAGTTTGAGTTGGGTGAAAAATCACCAGAAGGGCGGTCTGGGAGAATTTCAACCGTGACCCGGCAACCGTGGCTGACCGTCCCGGTCGACCGGGCCACCGTCACCCGGCCGACCGGGCAACCGGAAAAGGGCAACCGGGCCATGGTCAGCCGGCCAACCGGCAACCGGAACGGGCAACCGTGGCACGGTCATGCAGCCGGGCAACCGGGCAACCGGAACGGGCAACCAGGGCACGGTCAACCGGGCAACCGGAACGGGCAACCGGAACGAGCAACCGGGCAATCGGGCACGGTCAACCGGGCAACCGGAACGGGCGGGCACGGCAACCGGCAGGGCAGTTGTCGCAGTAGTAGCAGTAGCAGTAGCAGTAGCAGTAGCAGTAGCAGTAGCAGTAGCAGTAGCAGTAGTAGTAGCAGTAGTAGTAGTAGTAGTAGGTAGTAGTAGGTAGTAGTAGGTAGTAGTAGGTAGTAGTAGGTAGTAGTAGGTAGTAGTAGGTAGTAGTAGGTAGTAGTAGGTAGTATTAGGTAGTAGTAGGTAGTAGTAGGTAGTAGTAGGTAGTAGTAGGTAGTAGTAGGTAGTAGTAGGTAGTAGTAGGTAGTAGTAGGTAATAGTAGGTAGTAGTAGGTAGTAGTAGGTAGTAGTAGGTAGTAGTAGGTAGTAGTAGGTAGTAGTAGGTAGTAGTAGGTAGTAGTAGGTAGTAGTAGGTAGTAGTAGTAGTAGTAGTAGTAGTAGAAGTAGTAGAAGTAGTAGTAGTAGTAGTAGTCGTAGTCGTAGTAGTAGTCGTAGTCGTAGTCGTAGTCGTAGTCGTAGTCGTAGTCGTCGTAGTAGTAGTAGTAGTAGAAGTAGTAGTAGTAATAGTAGTAGTAGTAATAGTAGTTGTAGCAGTAGCAGTAGCAGTAGCAGTAGTAGTAGTAGTAGTAGCAGTAGTAGTAGTAGCAGCAGCAGTAGTAGTAGGAGTAGGAGTAGGAGTAGGAGTAGGAGGAGGAGTATACGAGTAGGAGGAGGAGAAGGAGTAGGAGGAGGAGAAGGAGTGGAGGAGGAGTATGGAGCGCTGTGTGGACGGTGCGGCTGTCGGTGAAGTTGATGCAGCAGGCGAAGTCCAAGCGGGAGGTTCAGCTGGCCACACAGGCTGAACGTCGCCGTGAAGTACAGCAACGTGTGGCAAAGGCACGACAGGCACAGCTGCTGCAGCGCGAGGTCGAAAGCCTGAAGCAACAGTTGCGCGAAAGTCAGGCGTCGCCGCAGGCGAGAGCTTCGGGCCTTCACGAGGATCTCCAGCCCCTGCGCAGCTCGCCCAACAAAAAGACAAGAAGGCTGAGCAAAAAGCTTCAGGCAGAACTGCTGCAGGACCGCAGACAGGGCAAGTAATGCCCGCGCCTATACATGAGGAGTATA